CCGCGCCATCAATGGGCCGCTTCGCGGCCCTATTTTTACCCTCATATCAGTGTTAGTTTTATTTTTCCCCTAAACAATTACGATATGAGGTATACTTTAATTTTAAACTTTACATAAAATTACTTTAAAATTTAAAGGACGCGTTTTGAAATGACTGCTTGATGAAATATTGCAGTAAAACAATGAACTTTGGTAGTCAGGTAATTGGTAATAATTAAGATATCGGGGGTCGGGGATCGAACCCACACCGAGTTCAACGTGGACGTAATCGACGTCTTAAACGACAGGGCCACCGCTCCACATGAGAATGTCAGTGCGAATCTTGTGTAGATAAGTGTAGAGCTGATGCGCAGGCTACCCATCTACTGCGCAGCCTCCTCGACCACTGCGCATCCTCCCGCGCATAGCGGTAGCAGTACCGGAGCATTCTGTAAACTCACTCACTTTTATAACGTGATTTTAAAAAAACCTGGGTCCTTTTTCCAAAATCNGCGAGAGTATGGACAGCTTGCTTCATCGAGGGCTTGGGCCGAAAAGGGAAGCCAACCTTCCAGCACTACTGTAAAAGTACTGCTTTTTGGCCAGCCTGTTTTAGTAGACACCCTAATGGCGGGAGAAAGGCTGCCGAAGAAGACGTTTGATTGGGTTCCTCCTCGGAGGAGTCGGGGGGACGCCAAGTGAGAGAGTGGTGACAGGGGGTTTTAGAGGAAAAGAGGGAATATCAACTCCCTGAAGGGCTCTGGAAAGATAGGGGACTTTGGCTGCTGGGTGTCGCGGGGCGCAAAAGAGAATTATGAAGCAGATTTTATGTATGTATGTATTCTGGTGGTACGGTGGAGCGAATGGTGCCTGGAAAGTCGAAACGCCTTCATTTCTGTACGTATGCTACACGGGCATCCGTAGAGCCCGAATAGTTGTATCCCGGTTTTAAAGTGGAATTCGTTTAGCATTAGCCAATTTGTACCTATGTACTTGATACCCGCGTCTGCGGCATCAGCAATCGTCGCTTGCTCCACACTTGTTTCATGAGTACTGGACAAAACAGCCCTAAAAAGTGACCATATCGATGTTTCAATATACATGCACAGCGAATCCAATGTATAGACATGTGTGGAACTCCGAAAATCGATCAGGCCCTCACCGAGCTCCCTTGAACGAAGTTAGGACCCGAAAGGGCAGCCAACCTATAAATTCAAATTATTCAGACTGATTTACTACATTTCAATTGTTGCGACCCGTTGCGTCGTTCACTGGAAAAAAAAACATTGGATCTAGAGTCCAGACTCTTAAAAACATTGACAAGAAAAAATACTCTTGATCCAATCAGATTTAAGCTTAAATCAAAAGGAAATCCGCTCAAATTAAGAGACTTGGTTCTTGATTTAAGCTTAAATCTGATCGAATCAAGAGTATTTTTTCTTGTCGATGTTTTTAAGAGTCTGGACTCTAGATCCAATGTGTTTCTTTTTCCAGTGTTTGCAAAGCACGTATTTAATTTAGTTTTTTTCATATTTACTCATTTTTCGACATCGCGGTGTGATATTTGGATCTGAAGATTGCCAGTGAAAATTGGTTTCCCAGTATATTTCCAAGAAATTCAGCACTTCCTCAACAGAAAAATTCAGTACTTTTTCAGCACCTCCACTTGACGAGATTGGATAAATTTCTTAAATTTGAATTTCTCACTCATATTACGACAAAAAGGACACAAATGACAACAATTCCGGATCTTCGTGCGGAATTTCCACACTTTTTCGGTACTTCCTGACCCTCTTAAAAAAATCAGTGCTATTTCCGGACTTTCCGGGCTTTTCGCATCCCCGGTCATGCTAGTAGCATAATTTTTGAAAATATATCACGGAAATTTTACGATTTTAAATTCCGTGACATCCCACCCCCTGACACTACAAAAGCAAAAGTAGATTTGAAATCGCGGAGCCAGAAACAGAAATCAATACTCTCATCCCTTGGCATCCGCATTGTCGTCGAAACGATCCGCCGGAACAGAACTCCTGGCGACGACTCCGAAACTCAGCGTAAACCGAGCGGTTTTCGACTGCCCCCGAGCGAGGAATCAAAACTTCCGCGCAACCCCCTTCACTCGGGACTCCTTTCATCCCTGGCAACCCTTTGAATCTCCCGGTCAGCCTCCTTTGATGTAGCGCCCGTCCCTGGGAATATGGAAAGTTGTCGAACGGGACCCGGACAATGGGCGAGCCGGCAAGTTCGGAATTCCGTGTTTTTGATTGCATTCCCCGGAGGTGCTCACCCGAGCCGCCGTACAATGGAACAGGTCAATCGCAGAATGTGGACAAAAAGTGGAAACCTTAAAAGCTTTTAACTCTATTAATACTGAAAGTTGAGTTTTTAAAAGTGACCTCATTGGTTCTATTATTGAATTTTCTTGACAAATCATCTCGGAAAATTTAAAATTCGACGAATTAAACTTCAAAATTGCCACTTTTTGTCCAAAATTTTGTGTCCGACCTCTTCAACTGACTCATACCACTGTGCGGCGGAGCGTTCTCCGTCTCAACTTTTTTCACCATCTCGCACCGTGACCGGTCGGCGCGCCTTTGTTGAGGTAGAGTAGCTTTATCGGGCGGGTGTGCAATTGTCATTCGATTGAGGCCTCAGGGTCCAAAAGGGCGGATAGCCCTCTCAAAGTTATTTCATAAAAACTTAGGAGAGGAATGCGAATAATGATTCAGAACTCGGAGTTCACATAATTTTTATATCCTTCACAAACGGTTTTCAAGTTTATTATGCCTTGTATGCATTGACTGGTGAATTTTAACTTTAAAAAATTGTGCAGGATTGTTAAAATGTACAAGTTATGAAATTCATTTTAATGCCAAATTTCACTGACTAAGCTGCATGGAACATGGTAATTGATTAAAAAAAAATATTGTTGAATTTATTTTTGGCTTGTAGCTCGATTTTTTTTTTTAATTTTATTAAATCAATTACCATGTTTTAGGAAATCCTTTTGATTCATGTTTAAGTAAAATTTGCTTCTCAGAAAATGATATGTAAAAAGTGGCATCAATTTGATTAGATTAAAGAATCACTCATTATTGATGCTGAACAAAAAAATTCGTCCCAAATAAGCAACATTCAAACTAACATATACGTACAATTTTTGTTAAAATTGATGGAGTTGGAGGCCTTGCATGGTTTCGAAGAATCTGTCTCATAAATTATACGGTTGAATTTGACTCGAGATTGGCAAAAACTGTCATTTTCTGCTTTTTGGAGGGTTTTCTTAGATCTACCTTAATCACAACGCAAACCATGATGGCTCTCCATTTATTGAGACATTTGCTACAAGAAACAGCTTTCTTTTGCTCTAGCTGAAGTTTGCAACAGGCCTATATTGTTTAATTTTTTAACTGTGTATGTTGGAAAGAGCCCCGTAACGATCGTCACAATTCAAAAGCTTTGATGCGTTAGTCGGACGCTTTGAATTTGCTGTGAGCCACAAGTTTTATCACTCGGTCCGTTGGCGACCCCTTTGGTCAAAGGTAGGAGCCGAAAAGATGTATTGCAGACCTTATGAGGCGACTGAAAAGATGCTGGCGTGATTTGCTCGTCGCATCCTTTCTGAGCCCTCAGCCATAAGTTCCCGGTCATTAATTTGAAAAGCTGTGCACATGAGACACCGAGCGCCTTTGAAATATAATTGAGGTCGAGCCCGCAATATCAAACCGCGCCGCTCCGTCCGCAGACCTTCCCTCAAAGCAACCCCCCGTTGCCAAAACGAAAATTAAATATCGGGAATTTTAATTCGCTTTCTATCGGTGAAATTCATACGAACTGGCAATTTTGGATAGGATTTCTAATCTGATAGCATGAGAGGTGGACTAGAGGCAGCTATGGTTTTAGTAAAGAATGAAAAACAACTGAATCAGCCAAAATTCACATAATAAAGTAACAACTTAATTTGGGGCAAAGGCTGTAAAAAAACAACGAAGGATAAACAAAACCCGGAACGTTTCAAAAATATTAACAATTTGAATTTTAACCGGAAAAAAAATAAAAATGAGCCGTCGATTCACTGTTATTGCGAGACCGAGACTGATTACAAGGTAAATTAATTGTTAATATTAACAATTGTTAATATTTTGAAACATTCCGGGTTTTGTTAATCCTTTGTTGTTCTTTTGCAGCCTTTTCCCCCAAATTAAGTTGTTGGTTCTAG